CCCGGGCCGGCGAGTGAGCGCCGTGCCTTCGAGCCTCGCTCACGGCGGCCTCGACTCCCAGCTCCCGCCTCGGCCGGCCCTCGCTCTCCCGGAGTAGAGGCTGGGACTCCAGGCGCGCGCCTCCACGCCCGGCTGACATTCTTCCTATATATATATATCATCAACTGCGTCCAATCCAAGCCTTCTATTTCGTAGTTAGAGACGGCGGGCCTCGCTCGCCGAGCCAAGAAAACTTTCAGTGCGACAGCGCCCAGGCGCCGCCCGTGCCTGACCACCCCGCAGGACGGCAGACGGCGCGGCCTCTCCCACCCCTCATCTTGCCTCTCCCACGAAACTGGGTGCCTCGGGGGCGACCTCCCGGCCCAGGAGCGGGCTGAGGAACAATGAGTCTTCCAAGCGCCTGGGGCCGCGCTCCACCCGTCATCCCGAGTGTGAGGCGAGGCGGAGGATCGCGCCGGCTCAGAGTGTTGAGGACAGCTGAGCGCGAGAGCGGGCCGCCGTTCTCTACTAAAAACAAATCAATACAAAGAATTTAGCTCGACAACTAAGGAACTACATAGAAAAAAACGAGCCGCGTGCTGTGGCATGCGTGTGCCAGGCTAGCTCGGGAGAGGCCGAGGGGGAGGCTCGCTGGCGAGCCAGGAGTCAGAGGCGGTGGCTGTGGACGAGAGGCGCTGACGCCACGGCGCTGCCAGCGCTGGTCGAGCAGGGCGCGAGACCTTGGGGTCTCAAAATAAATAAAATAAATAAAAGCAAAACAAAAATAAAAAAATAAAATAAAACAAAATAATTAAAAACAAAACAAAAACAGCCAAAAATAAAATAATAAACGACAAGCAAAATAGAGTGAAAATAAAACGAAATAAAACGAAAAATAAAGAATAAGAACGAAAATAAAAAACCAAGACAAAACCAATAAAAACAGAAACAGAAAAAACCAAAATAATAAGACAAAAACAAGAGGCAGTAATAAGAGAAAGATTAAACCAAATAAAAAACTGAAATAAATGAAAGAGAAAGAAAAAAAAGCCGAGAGATAAAAACTAGAGAACAAAACAGGAGAACTCAAGTAAAACAAGAAACAAAAAAGGCACCAAAGAAAAGTAAACAAAAGCCCAAAGAGTTAAATAAAATAAAAGTAAATAAAACCAAAAATAAAATACGAGAAAAAAATAAAAAAAACACGAACAAAAAGAACTGAAAGAATACCAGAATAGATAATAATAACCACAACAAAATAAGAATAAGAAAATAAAAGAAATAAAACCGCGAGAGCAGGTAAAAAATAAAATACAAACAAACAAAAACCAAACAAGAAAAAACAAAATACAAATAAGACAGACAAAACAAAATAAAAAAGAAATAAGAAGTGAAACGGAAAACAAATAGAAAACAAAATTAATGAAAAAAACAAAATAAAATAAACTCAAACAAAATAAATAAAATAATATACAATAAAATAAAAAAATAAAATAAAATAATAAAATAAGGCGGCGGTCGGGCTGGCGCAAACGGGAGCCGAGGCGGACGGCGGGTCCTCGCGCGCCACCTGGCGGCCAAGCCGGACGCGCGCCCGGGCTCGCCTGGTGAGGCAGCAGGCGGGGCCGCGCCCAAAACCCGGACTTTCTGGGGTGAGGAAAGGGAGCCGGGCGGCGAGCGGCTGCCTCGCTCGCCTGCCGCAGAGCTGGCCACAGGCCGGCTCTTGGGTCTCATATAGGTTTTAGCGGTGGCGGCTTAATTTCTTGCTGTATTTTTTTGTGTTTTTTGTAGTAGACACGGGTGTCTCGGCTCGTTGTGCAGCGCTCCAAACGCGCTGAGCGGTCCAGCAGATCCTCTGCTTCGGCGCTCCCTCCGAGTACGACTACAGCATGGGCACACGCGGAGCGGCTTTTGCTGTTTTGGATTTTTTAGTGGTCAGCTCATTTCTTTCTGAGATTTTTTTAGTAGAGACGGGGGGTCGTAGCTCTGACTCAGGCTGGCCTCGCAGACTCTGGCCTGGAGCGAGTTCGTCGACTCAGCCTCCCATCCTGATTATTATTTTGGTTAGTAGAGACGGACCAGCAGAGGAGGTCGTGCAGCTCTCGCTCGTGTGTGTGGTGCGGGCGCGTCCAGCTCATTGTTTTTTTTGTTGAGGCAGAGGCTCGCTTTGCCGCCCGGGCCGGAGTGAGCGCCGTGGCCTCAGCCTCGCTCACGGCGGCCTCCGACTCCTGGCCTCCAGCCATGAGCCTCCCGCCTCGGCCTCCCTCTCCCGAGTAGAGGCTGGGACTCCAGGCACGCGCCTCCACGCCCGGCTAACATTTTCCTATATATATATATATCATGACTCGTCCAATCAATTTCTATTTCTAGTAGAGATGGGGTCTCGCTCTTGCTCAGGCCGGCCTCCAACTCCTGACCTCGAGCCGATCCTCCCTCCTCGGCCTCCCTCTCCCGAGTAGAGGCTGGGACTCCAGGCCTGCGCCTCCACGCCCGGCTAACATTTTCCTACATATATCATCACTCGTCCAATCAATTTCTATTTCTAGTAGAGACGGGGGGCCTCGCCCTTGCTCAGGCCGGCCTCCAACACTCCTGGCCTCCAGCGACCGGGCGATCCTCCGCTCCCGGCCTCCCCTTCACCCCGTCCGGGCCGGCTCCGCTTTTCTGAGCCGCCTTCTCGCCCCTGCGGCTCCTCGCCCTCCACCGCCCTCCGCCGACCCCGGGGAACGACGGCCCGGCCCCGACACGAGCACACAACTCACGACACTGCCCGGAAAGCCTCCAGTTTAAAGGTCACAAAAAAAACACAAAAAACCACAAAAACCACAAAATCCCAAAACCACGCCGTGTTCACAGCAAGGACCGGCTCCTCGACTGAAACAAAAAAAAAAACACGTCGGCCCCCAGCCTCGGGGGGCGCCGGCCGCGCTTCTCGGAAGCTCTGGGGGAGAAACAAGGACAAAACGCAGAACCGGGACGCCCGGCCACCCGCAGCCCCGGGCGTCGGGGAGGCGCGAGGACCGGGGGGTTCGATCCCCGGCCCCGCCGGGGGGCTCTCTCTGGCTCCCGACGGCCCGGACTCTTCCGGAAGGCGGCGGCGGCGACGGGGCGTCAGCCCACCCGCAGCGGCGGGGCCACCAGCACCACCCCGTCGCCCCGCACGAACAGCATCGGGATGTTCCGCTTCGTGGACTGGAAGGGAAGAAAAAAAACAAAGAACAACAGAGAAACCGGTAAGAGATAAAAAATACAAACAAAAAAAAACAAAAAAAAAAAACAGAGAAACCGGTAAGAGACAAAAAATAAAAACAAAACAAACAAACAAAAAAAACCAGAGAAACCGGTAAGAGATGAAACAAATAAATAAAATCAAAACGAAGAAGAAGAAAAAAAAAAACGGGACGCGTTGACGCGAAGACACCCGCATCGTCGTTTTCTTTCTTTTTTCTTTTTTTTTTGAGGCCGAGTCTGGCTCTGTCGCCCGGGCCGGAGCGAGCGCCGTGGCGTCGGCCTCGCTCACGGCAGCCTCCGACTCCTGGGCTCGAGCGATGAGCCTCCCGCCTCGGCCTCCCTCTCCCGAGTAGCTGGGACGACAAGCGTGCGCCACCACGCCCGGCTCGTTTTTTTTTTCTATATATTTTTAGTTGTCCAGCTCATTTCTTTCTAATTTTTTTTTTTAAGTAGAGACGGGGTCTCGCTCTTGCTCAGGCTGGCCTCCAACTCCTGACCTCCAGCGAGCCTCCCGCCTCGGCCTCCCTCCCGAGTAGCTGGGACTACAGGCGTGCGCCACCACGCCCGGCTCGTTTTTTTTCTATATATTTTTAGTTGTCCAGCTCATTTCTTTGTATTAACAGTAGAGACGGGGCCTCGCTCTTGCTCAGGCTGGCCTCCGACTCCAGACCTCGAGCAATCCTCCGTCCTCGGCCTCCCAGAGTGCTGGGATGACAGGCGTGAGCCTCCGCGCCCGGACTAGTGTTTTGTCCTATATATTTTTACTAGTCCAGGAATTTCTTTCTATTTTTAGTAGACATGGGTCTCGCTCTTGCTCAGGCCGGCCTCCGACTCCTGACCTCGAGCAATCCTCCCTCCTCGGCCTCCCAGAGTGCCGGGACGACAGGCGTGAGCCTCCGCGCCCGGCTCATTTTTTCTATATATATATATATATTTTTTTACACGACCGATTAGTTTCTTCCTATTTATGGTAGAGACGGGGGGGTCTCGCTCTTGCTCAGCCCGGCCTCCGACTCCCGACCTCCAGCGATCCTCCCGCCTCGGCCTCCCTCCCGAGTAGAGGCCGGGCCGACAGGCACGCGCCTCCACGGCGCCCGGCCTCGGCGGCTCACCTTGTAGATCTCCTCGTAGGTCTCCTCGTCGATCTCTATGGTCGTCACGGTCTCCTCCACGTCCCCCAGGATCATGTTCAGGTGCTGGTCGTAGGCCTGCGGGGACAGCGAGACACCCGGGGGTCGGCTCGGCGGGAGAGGGGCCGGCGGCACGGGGCGTGGACGGCTCGGCGACAGGCCTCACGCCCGGGCCGGGTGCGGGGGGGCTCACGCCCCGTCGTCCCGGCACTGTGGGAGGGAGGCCGAGGCGGGAGGATCGCTGGAGGCCGGGAGTTCGAGGCCAGCCTGAGCAAGAGCGAGACCCCGTCTCTACTAAAAAAAAAAAAAA